AAAAAAAAAAAAAAAAAAAAAAGAAATTCCCTTGAGAAAAGGCTCTAAAATTTCCCTGAAAGAAATGTCTCAGGGAAGAAGGGGGTCAGGTGGACCTGCTTGGCTGCTCACAGTCCCTGTGATGTTAAGATCTTCACTAACCTCTGAGCCTCGGTTCCCCATTTATCAAACCAATAGATACTTCCCCCTGCTGACCTCCAGCCAGGCCCTGTGCCTAGTCTTGGGGCTTAGGGCTGAATCAGGCCCCATCTTGTCCCCTAGAAGCTCACAGTCCCACTGGACACAGGCATTCATGAAGGTGACAGAGAGGGGCAGCCCCTGAGAATGTGAGAAGCCCCTAGGCCCTCGGGCAGCTGGGAGGTGGCAAGCTGAGCTGTGACAGTGGGTCAGTTCCCAGGCCAGCTGGGGAGACACAGGCATGGAGGAACTGCAAAACTGAGAAGCCCGCAGGGCAGAGCACTCCTGGCTCCACCAGAACTGCACTGTCCCCCAGCACCAGGTCCTCTGACCAGGAACAGAGCCCTCCAGTCTGGTCCAACCCATGTCCCTTCACTCTCCTCTTTCTCATCCCCTCTCTTTACCTCAGCAGCCCCTAAGTCAGAAAAGCAGAGACTTAAGTCAAGGTCCCCATGGGTGGACCAGCCACCCATCCAGAACAGCCCAGGGCAGGTGGGGCCAGGCATGGCACCTAGGGTAAAGAGTGGGTCAGCCCAGGGACAACATGAGAGCAAGTTAAGGTCAGGGTGAGCTGAGGCCTGAGGTGAAGGTCAGGATTGCAAACGAAGTCAAGGTCAGGGGATGAAGTCGGAGTTGAGGGATGAGGTCAGGAGGGCAATCCCCAGGGCAGAGCAGGAGGGGATGGTAGCACTGCAGGGCTGCACTCCCCAGGAGGAGGTGCAGGTGCAGGGGAGGTGGCAGCAGCGGGTGGCAGGGCAGCCCCAGCCTACCATGGTCTGGAGAGCTCCCTCGTGCTGTAGCAGGGCTGGGGGCAACTCAGGGCTGGCCTTTAAATATGCTCATCCCAGGCCACATGCCAAGCATAGGCAATAGTGTGGAAGGTGACAAATGACAGGCTGGGGCCTCTCTGCCAGGCAGCTGCCTTGGGCCATTGGGAGTGAGTGGGCCAAAGCCCCAGATCCAGAGACTATCTAAGCCTGGAGGATCTCCGTGAGCCCTGGGCCAACTGCTTTCTCTAGAGCCAAGGGACCAGAAAGGGGCACCTGGCCAAGGACATGCAGTAAGTCAAGGCCTGAAGCCAGGCCAGCTGGGAAGACTTGGCCTTGGGCCATGTTAGGTCTGGGAGACCACCTGGGGGCAGGGCCACTCACCCCATCTGGGGACACTCAGGCCACAATGAGATCAGATCCCAAGAGCTATGTGATTCTTATGGGAGGGACACCCACCTCTAGGAGGCTCAGTCCTCTCACATCAACAATGGGGAGAATGTGAACCCCCCCCACCCCCCGGTCTACTTGTAGAGAGGATGCCTGCATCAGTCTGGCCAGGGTGCCTACTGCCCTGTAGTCATCAGGACTACCAAGACCCACCCCAGTCGGGGCTCCCTCCAGACATTTGAAAATGCCCAAAGTGTTGAGAAAGGAAAAGAGGCAAAGGAAAGAAAGATGGAAGCGACTCAGAAGAGAGAACTGAAGCACCAGACCTGCAGCCCACTCTGGCCTCACACACAGCCTTACCAGGCCCAGCCCAACCCCAGGACTCCCCAGTAGATGTAACAGACAGAGCCCACACCTGGCTCTGGCAGGCCCCCATGTACCCAGGCAGCCCCAGTCCATCTGGGGCCGCCACATCTGACTGGCTGCCAGGGCCGGCAGTGCTGGGGTCAGGTGGTGAGCCCACTGGTCCCCAGGAGCTGGAGAGCTTAACTGTCCCCCAGAGCTGGCCTCAGGCCTCTAGGCCCTGGCACAGCTGATCCTTTGCCATGGGGAAAGGGAATATAATAATAATAATAATGAAAATAGATAACATTTCTAAGACACAGAAGTTCAGATCATGTCCTAAACACATTCAATCCTTACCCCATGTTCCAGATGAGGAAAGTGAGGCACATAGATTAAGTGACTCACCCCAAACTGCTAAGAGGTGGGGCTAGAATAAAAGCCCTCTTGTTAGTAGCTTTAAAAGGAAGCTTCCAGATGGTTCTGCATAATCAAATTCTCTCCTGCTGCCCTCTCCCCACTGTCCCTGGCTGTAGCTGACTCTGACCAGCCCCTCTGACCACCTTGAGCACCTGTGATAACCCCTCCACCCAGAGCTGGGGCCAGGCCCTGCCATATTGTCCCCTGACAGGAGAACTGACCACACCTGCCACCGCCAGTGCACTCAGAAGGCCAGGGTGGAAAATGACCCAGCTCTGGGGCAGAAGCCTGGGTTCCAGTCCAGGCTGTGCCTCGCCTTGTTATGGGAGGAGGGCTGTGTGACCATGACAGGTGCCTGCCTCCTTCTGGGCCTGGGCTGCGGGACAGTAGCCAGGGTGTAGCCTATCCTGCCTGGTCTGTGAGCCTGGCTCTGGGCTTGTGGAGGGGGGAGACATGACGCCATCTGGAGTGATAACCCCGATCTGCCTCTGGAGAGCACACCCAGGACCGTGGAGGGGCTGCCAAGGCCCAGGACAGGCCTGAGCAAGTGGGGAGCTACCTAGCCTGGAGGGAAACAGTAAGAGAAAGTCATGGTGAGACACAGGTGAATCACACCAGGCTTACAAATTAGTCCACACAGTTTTCCTACCTTGGCCTCCTCCTTTCTAGCATAGGGCTCGTCAGAGATCTGGTGGAGAATGAAATCCTGGGGTAGGGACTGTGTGAGGGTGTGGCAGCCCTTAAAAGGAGGAGCTGTGAGTTCTACCCTCACTGTGGGAGCCCTGATACAGAGAAACATGGACTCTCAGTTCTGTCCCATCTAAGAAATGGGGCCAGCAACCCAGACCCTTTGAAACTGCCATCAGGCCAGCTGGTATCCTGGAAAGGCGGGCTTTGGAGCCACCAGTCCAGATTTTGGAGGGCAGAGTCCCCCACCTCGCTGGAGTCCTCAGCAAAACTCACCTCCTCTCCCCGCCACAGCTCCTGGTCAGCAGGATGGGGCTGTAGCAAGTCAGTGCCAGAGCAAGGTC